ATTGGTCCTGCTTTGAGCAGGGGGTTGGACTAGATGACCTCCTGAGGTCCCTTCCAACCCTGATAGTCTATGATTCTATGATTTAGTCGAAAAACTCCATTTCCCCTCAGAAAACAGCTTGGGTGGATAATATTCAACCAGCCCCACTCAGTCCCCGCCTTGGCCAGCTCTGAAAAATACCAGCAACTCGCCCCTGGTCTCACCCAGTGGCAGAAGCAGGATTCGAACCCAGATCTCCTGCAGCCCAGTACCTTCACCCCACGCCCGCCGTTCTTCTCTCAGAGCCCGCCCCGCCTCTGCCTCCGGGAGTGGATTTCTTCCCTTCTCCCTCTAGGTAAACAGGTTCTGGTTTTGGTTTTGGTTTGAAGTAGGGGTGAGAAACAAAAGCCCCAGTTCCTGCCACTTCCCAGTTAGCAAACAGCCGTGTTTGAGCTCAGCCTCCTACGCACACCTGGCCCTGGTCAGGTGTGACACAGCCCAGCCCAATCCCGCCCGGTACAGAAGGATTGTCTCTGCCAGAGGAGAAGGGCATCCGAGCAAGTCCCCGAGCAGCTGGGTGAAATTCTCTGGCCTAGGCTATGCCAGAGCTCGGACAAGGTCGCTGCAATGGGAGGCAGGATGGCTCAGTGGTTAGGGTGCTAGCTTGGGAGAGCTGCATTCGCATCCTCCTACAGTAGGCCTTAGAAGCCGCCAAGCAAGATCAGGGTCCTATTGTGCCGGTTGTTCCAGGAATACAACCCCATAGCGAGCTAATTAGCCTCTTATGTCTTTGTGCAGGACCTGAGACACTGGGGCTCTTGGGTACTACCGTAATACACCTAATAAACAATGTACAGCGCCTGGCACAATGGGGTCCTGGACCATGGCTGGGGTTCTTGGGTGCTACTGCAAAACACCTAATAAATAACGTACAGCACCTGGCACAGTGCGGGTCCTGGGCCATGGCTGGGCTCTTATTTGCATCGTGAGAGCACTCGACATATGAGACAACGGGTGTGAGGGGAAACTGAGGCACGGAGGAGGGCAGTGACTTGCCCAAGGTCACTCAGCAGGTCTGAGCTGGGACTAGAACCTGGGAGTCGTTATTTATTAGGTGTATTATGGTAGCGCCTCGGTCAGAGGCCAGGACCCCGTTGCCCTCGGCGCTGTACAAACCCAGAACAGAGAGACTGGCCCCGCCCCAAGGGCTTGACAATCTACTCCTCCAAAGATCCGGTGATGATCTGTGTGTTACTGGTGGTAAATGACTCTTCTGGGCTGGGATCTCTGCCGATCGCCGGGGATTGGCTGCTCCCAGAAAGGGCTCTCCAAAGGAGAAGGAACTGGGATCCCCTCAAACACCCATAATCGGGGTCACATCCTCGCTTTTGGAAACCTCACAAACGCTGCATGTCCAGCCGGCCTGGGAGAGGAATGCTTGTGGGGTTTTTCTTTGCTGGAAAGCAAGGCAGAATGGCTTGTTCAAAGACACAGAGTAAAGTCCTTGGCAACGCTGGGAATGAGACCCAGCAGTCCTGGCTCCCAGCCCCCTCAACTCTAACCACTAGCCCCCACTCCCCTCCCAGAGCCAGGAGAGAACCCAGGAGTCCTGGCTCCCAGCCTGCCCCAACCACTAGACCCCCACTCCCCACCCGGACCTGGGAGTAGAACCCCTCTGCCTCGCTGATGCTGACGCCCCCCTCTCTGCCCCCCAGATGGCCTCCGCCAACGACACCCGGCAGGCCCAGAAAGATGCCGCCGACCAGAACTTCGACTACATGTTCAAACTGCTGATCATCGGGAACAGCAGCGTGGGGAAGACATCCTTCCTGTTCCGCTACGCCGACGACTCCTTCACCTCGGCCTTCGTCAGCACCGTGGGCATCGACTTCAAGGTCAAGACAGTCTATAGGAACGAGAAGAGGGTCAAACTGCAGATCTGGGTGAGCGCCTAGGAGGGGAGGGAAGTGGGACCCTGGGGGGGGGAGGGATGGAGGCCTGGGGGAGCCCAGCGGGACAGTTTATCTCGTTGGGGGGGGGGGGGGCGGACTGTCTCTTTGTGCTGTGTTTTGTACAGCATCTAGCGCAATGGGGTCCTGGGCCACGGCTGGGATGCCCAATGTTACCGTAATACTGATAGTAGCTGATGAGGATAAGTTATGGCCCAGGCGGCCCCGCGCTTATCGATCAGGGGCCTCAGGCCAGAAGAGATCCAGCACCCTGTATGTTCTGGCGTCAGCCCTAGACGCTGGAGAGAGAGAGAGAGAGAGAGAGGCGTCCAATCCACCCTTTTGCCCCTAGCAAGGCAATACTATACCGCAGGTGAATTCCTCCTGACCCCGAGCTGGGGATCGGCCTGTGCCCTGAAGCATGAGGGTTGACGGCCCTTTTCCTTTCAATCCTCGCCAGGTGCCGACCCTTCAGTACCAGATTCCTGGGACTTCTGGCCCCATGTGGGGTGTACTCCTTCCCCCAGCACCCTGTTCTGTACAGCCCCCCTGCAGCCAGCCCCCAGCCCTGAGCCCCCACTGCCCAGGAGGCGGCGGTTTGGAGGCCTGGCAGTGGGAGAGGCTCTGCCCTGCGTGGTGGGGTGTTGGGCCAGCTCCCCCGCAGGGAGTGGATCAGAACTTGGCGGCTCCCAGCACTTGTGTGTAGCAAATGGGCGTGAAATAGGCACGCTTCCTACCCACAGGGAGGGGGCTGTTACCGTAATCACTGGAGTACTGCAACGCTTCCTTTTTAAAACTTCGTTCTGTTGGAGGAAGCCATTCTGTGCAGTGCTGCGGCCATATAGAGAAGAGGCCCCACCCTGAGCCAGCCAGTCCCCTGCCCTGGGGCTGGATCGGAACTGGTGCCCCCTGGAGGGAAAAGGCCCTATGCCCCATTTCCCACCCCCCTGAGCCAGCCAGTCCCCTGCCCTGGGGTTAGATCAGAGCCGGCACCCCCTGGAGGGGAAAAGGCCCTGTGCCCCATTTCCCACCCCCCTGAGCCAGCCAGTTCCCCCATTCCCCTGGGGCTGGATCAGAGCCAACACCCCCTAGAGGGGAAAGGCCCCCCTGAACCAGCCAGTCCCCCCATTCCCCTGGGGCCGGATCAGAGCCAACACCCCCTAGAGGGGAAAGGCCCCGTGCCCCATTCCCAGCCCCCCTGAACCAGCCAGTCCCCTGCCCTGGGCCCAGCCCAGAACTGGCGCCCCCTAGAGGGGAAAGGCCCCGTGCCCCATTCTGTGGAGAGTGACCCTTTTTAAGACTCTATTTCTCGAATGCAACGTGGCCCTGGCCCCCAGGTGGTGTGACTCAGCCTCGCTCTAGTGGAGTCAGTGGCATTAGGTCACTTCACACCGGCCGGGGATCTGGCCCGTTGACGCCACTGGCTCTATGGCCGAGTGGGGATCGGGCCCCAGTGGCCCCCCTGTCCCACGGTCCCAGCTGGCCGGACCGGATCCGCGCGTTCTTTGCCTGTTATCTCCATGGCCGGCAGCTGTGGCGAAGTCCCTAAGTGCAGCCGGATCCCCCGGTGCTGAGGGTAAACATCCCTCCCCTCCCCACGCGGCAGCTGCAGCTGTCACTGGCTTTCGCGGGGAGGGAGGGGGGTCAGAGTCTCCTGAAGGCCTCTGGCAGTCACCATGGTAATGGCACCAGCCTGCGTGCGCTTTGGCTCGGGCAGCAGCTGGCGTTACCTTGACGCCGGTAAATGCCACTGGGCACCATCATGCAAACTCTCCACTCAAAAAAGATTCGTTTCCCCCTGCCCCCAAATCCTCTAGGGTCTCCCCCACCAGCCTGGGGACCGAGACACCCAATCTGTCCCCCTTTTTTTATTCTGTTTTGGACTGTGGAACTCCTTGCCACTGATTTTTCCATGATGGGAACTTCACCGGCCTCCTAATGCCACCCCTGAACTATGTCTGCCTCCTCATTTACCCTCTGTCAATGCAGTTAGCCTGTGGAACTCACTGCCACAAGATGCCACTTTTGGAGAAAGGCTGCCTGGCCAGCTGGAGCCCTGCTCTGGGGATTTCTATAAGGCTGAGCGGTCTCTGCACATGCTGTGGCTTGAATCTTTGCAGGCCGGAAATCCACAGACTCCAGCCAGCAGGGAATTTGGCGCAGTGTATTTTTTTTCCACTGCAACCTCTTGCCCCACTGTGGTGGGTGGGAGAGACCCAGAGCAGCAGCATTAGCGAATGGAAGCCCTCTCTGGGCCCTGACCTAACCACTAGGAGGGATGGGCGATTTAGATCAGGAACATGTGTAGGAGCGACATTACGGTAGCACGTGGTTAACCCTTTGGCTTGGCTTTGTTGGAGTCACTCCCCTGCTTAATTAGATCTGAAGCTCTTTGGGGCAGGGTCCATCTGTTTGTTCTGCAGATGTACAGCACCTGGCGCATGGGTTCCTGGGCCGCGACGCTGAGCCACTACCACATTCCGCCTTATAAATAAGAATTTAAGCCTGTGCTTTGCTTTAAGGGGACACAGCTGAATGGAGAGGGGTTCATTGAAATGAGGATGGACAGATGCCTTCCTGCCACCTCCCAAAAGGATCAGTGGAAGTGTCTCCGCCTCTCTGCAGACTCTGCCTGACCCTCCAAAAAAGAGAGAGGTCAATAAATAGGTGTATTATGATAGCACCTAGCAGCCCCAGCCATGGCCCAAGACCCCATAGGGCCGAGCACTATACATTATTTATTAGATGTATTACGGTAGCACCTAGGAGCCCCAGTCCTGTGGCCCATAATCCCGTTGCGCTGGGCGCTGCACGAACACAGAACAAAAAGACGGTCCCTGCCCCAGGGCGCTGATCCTCTAAATTCGACTAATTTAACTGAGATTAGTTTAAGGCCTAGCGTTGATCCCATCACCTAGCAGTGAGTTCCACAGGCTAAAACCTCCGATGTCCCATCAGCTCTAAAGCCAGCTCTCCATTCCGGACGTCCGCCGGCAGAGCTCTGCTCGTCCGTGCCCTGTGGACGGGTGACGTCTGGCTGACCCAGCAGAAACCCTAACGGAGACGCGACGTTGCTTTTGCCGGGCTCGTTGATTTCGCTCGGGTGGGGTGGAATGAGCGATCCTGGTGGAGCGCGCGGCTTTACTGGGATAAGCCGGGTCCCCGCGAGAAGCCCTGTGTGTATGGCTGTAGCTTCGCCGGCAAAGCACTCTGCAGAGAGATCGGGCCTCGATCTGCTCCCTTTCCTACCCATCCTGCCTTCTGCAGCGGGCTGACTAGAATCCCACCCTGTCTCTTCCCTATCCCGCACCCCTCCACGCGTCCCCTCCTTGACCACCCCATCCAGACAAGCCCCCAGCTCTCCATACGGCAGAAATGGGATCGTCCGGCTCGCCAGGGTTTTATTTTTAACAGCAGCCCGTTAAAATTTCCATTCCGCCCCCTTATTAATCAATTTTTTTTTTAATTACATGCAAACAGTGCGTCTTACGTACATCTGAGCTGTCATGGAAACAACTAACCCCAGTTCCTGGTACCAGCCTGACGCTTCCAGGCCTTTTAATGAAAAGATCCTTCTGTCACGGCCCTCTGTGCGCTCCCTGGTCTCCACAGTAACAGGCCCATCGCTGGTCTCTGCGCGCTCCGGAGAGTAGATAAGAGCCGTACAAGGCCAAGCAGATAGGGACCAGCTGACATTTCTCACCCTCCCACAATGCACCGCTTCACTTGAGTCACGGCCCCGAACTGAAGCAGCCCTGTGGACGCCTGGGGAGAGAGGGGCCCTGCCCCAGGGAGCTTGGGGTTATCCCTTGTTTTACAGATGGGGAAACTGAGGCACAGGGGGAGGGAGTCTCTGGCAGGAAGTGAGGGGGAGCATTTACCCCCAAGCCTCCGGGTTGAAATCTGCCCCTGCACACCTGGAGCTCTTGCAAAGAAGCGGTTCTTATTTGTATGTGTTGGGGGGACGGGATTGTTTAAAGGACACCGCAGGGCAGGAGAGATACAGGACGATCACGACGGCTTATTACCGAGGAGCCATGGGCTTTCTGCTGATGTACGACATCGCCAACCAGGATTCCTTCAACGCCGTGCAGGACTGGTAAGAGACCCCACGTTCCCTTGCGTTGTACCAGGAGAGCCAGTCGTGTCCAGGGCTGAGTGAAGATACAGGCACTAGGGGGCCCCTGTTTAGGGCTCCTGGCTCCCTGGGGATTGAGGTCAAGATCTCCGTGGGGGGAAATCAGCTCTCTGACTGGAGCTGGTGGTGAAGAAAAGCTTGAACCGAGCAAAACGGACGTCTGCCTGAGTCTGCCGAGAGCCTGAGCTGATAGCTCAAAAGAGGGTGGAGTTGCCTGACGCGGCGACCCTGCCTGAGTCTGCCGAGAGCCTGAGCCCGTCCGCCTGAGAGAGGGCAGCTGCGCTGCGTGTAACTGATGCGTCTGCAGAAAGCAAACCGTGTGTGAGTGGGGGAGGGGATATGGCCCCCTCAATCTCTCCCGCCCCGGGGAAGGCCCTGCCGCCGTTGGAAACTCCTGATAAGGTTGCAGCGCTCATGTTCCTTAAAGACACGGCGTGGTGGGGTGGGGGCCCATCCGTAAAGACTCATTGGATTTTTAAGATCTTTTATGGGGGGCGGGGCAGTGGCGGGGGTGGAAGAGGCAGGTCACTGCACTGAACTATGGGGAAAACCGGGGCGGAGTCGGGGAGGACCTCGGAGATGGGGCTCTGCCCCCCCCCTTTTCACTGCTCCCTATTCCTGGCTTCACCCTTCTCTGGGGGCTGTTTGTCATCACCCCCGCACCCAGCTGCAGCCTCCCGCAGGGAGAGGCTCAAATCTCCTGGGGCCACCCATGAGGCAGATTGACAGCGAGTCACCGGGTTTAGGGAGGAGGAGTGAGCTCGGAGGCCCTGAGCTGCCTTGGGCCAGGCTGAACAGGGAAGGGGTTTAGCCCGGGGATATAGTGGAAGCCAGGCCTCCTGGGTCCTCTCCCTGGCTCTGGAAGGAGGGTGGGGTCTAGTGGTTAGAGTAGAGGATTGGGAGTCAGGACTCCGAGATTCTGTTCTGGGAGGGGAGCCCTCGGACGGCTGCTCTCACTCACACAAAGCCCACTGGATGCCATTTCTTCCGGGGACTGAGTTTAACGCCGCTGAGCACCTCCAAAGATCGCCAGGTGCTTTACACACAGGGGTCGGTATTTATTATTATCCCTCTTTCGCAGAAGGGGAAACTGAGGCACAAGGTAGTGAAGGCACAAGGTAGCAGAGACACCCAAAGTTGTCATCTTTTCCACCCCCTCCGCTCTACCCACTAGGCCCCTCTCCCCTCCTAAGCCTGGGCATAGATAGAACCTCGGAGTCCTCGCTCCCAGCCCCACAGCTCGAACCACTAGACCCCAAAGCCCTCCCAGAGCTGGGGATAGAACCCAGAGTCCTGACCTCAAAAGGATAGTAAACAATGTGAGTTGGGAGGGTAGGGAGGAGGGGGGAAGGATGCGTTCAATCCCTCCCATGGAAGAACCTATATATAGTGCAAAATTCCTGGCTGGTGTGGGGCTCATGTTCCTTTAAGATGGGGTGGAGCAGGGACCCCGGCGATAAAAGACACATTGGATTTGTAACTGTGCTCTTTTATAAGGGGGGGAGGAGTCAGAGTGGGGTGAGGTGAAGGTGATTGACAGCTGCATGGGCACGGCTTGTAAGCAAGACCCGAGTTCAATTCCCACCCCCGCTCCGTAGGGCGACCCAGATCAAGACCTACTCGTGGGATAACGCCCAGGTGATCCTGGTGGGGAACAAGTGTGACCTCGAGGACGACCGAGTGGTGGCCACGGAGGACGGCAAGCGGCTGGCTGATGAGCTAGGTAGGTGCCCTCCAGCCCCGCAGCGGCTGGAGAACCTGGAACGGATTTTTCCGTTTGTCGACAATTCCAAAAACCCCAGGACTGAACTTTCGTGGGGGCGGGGGGTGGACGTTTTTCAAAACGTTCAGCAAGTTGAAACCTATTTTGTTTCGACTTGAGGCAGAAGTTTTGAGCATTTTTAACCTCTTTTGTTTAATTTTAAAGAACACAATTGAAGGAAATGTTGAGACGAAAAACTAAAATGTGTTGATTTAAAAAAAAATTCTTTCTTTTGTTTTGTTGGAGGTTTTTTGTTGGTTTTTTGATTTGGGTTTTCTTCCCCTCCAACTGCAACAATTTGGCAGAACAAATTCCCATTAAAATGAGCAGTTGGTAGGTACCTAAATAAGGCTTGAGGCCTCAGGCGCTTGGCTAACGGTTTATTTGCAATCACAAACTTCTCCATGAACAGAAGGGGCCTCTCACAATCATCTCTCCGCCCTTAAAACTCTTGTTTTTTGTGCCACCTCGCCCCCTAGTGGTCAATGTCAACAGATAAAAGCTCTACTACTGCTGGGACATATAGTCCTAGATTCCAAGGGTAGAAGGGACCTCTCGCATCACACAGGCCAGAGAACTGTAGGTAGTTATAGAGGGTGATCAGTTATTGCTCCGTTAACTCAGGTGTTAAGGAACTGGGGTTTTCATGCTGAAGGCTAAGGGTTCAAATCCTCCTGCTGGAGCCACCATAAGAATGGCCATACTGGGTCAGACCAAGGGTCCATCTAGCCCACCCTGTCTTCTGATGCCAGGTGCCCCAGAGGGAATGAACAGAACAGGTAATCAAGTGATCCATCCCCTGTTGCCCATTCCCAGTTTCTGGGAAACAGAGGCTAGGGACACCATCTCTGCCCATCCTGGCTGATAGACATTGATGGATCTATCCTCCATGAACTTTAGTTCTTTTTTGAACCCTGTTATAGTCTTGGCCTTCACAACATCCTCTGGCAAGGAGTTCCACAGGTTGACTGTGCATTGTGTGTACTTTCAGTCACCAACACACGATTTTTCCTCCTCCTTCTGTTCTTTCTCATTCCCTCCTTTCTCCCCCTTCTTCCCCTGCCCTCCCCCCAGGGTTTGAATTCTTCGAAGCCAGCGCCAAGGACAACATCAACGTCAAGCAGGTCTTTGAACGCCTGGTGGACATTATCTGCGAGAAGATGAACGAGAGCCTGGACACCAACTCCACCCTCGTCAGCAACAGCAAGAACGGGGCCCTGACCGAGACTCCGCCCCCGCAGTCCAGCAGCTGCTCTTGCTAGATAACAGACTCCGCCCACCTATGGCTCCTCTCTGCCCCCCCCCCCGCCCCCCCAGCGGTCACATTGATGTCATAGATAAATAGGATGGGAGATTATGGGGAGAGGCAGATCTCTTGGGCCACTGCCCCAGTGTTTTTGTATTTGCCTATGACAACAATGCAACGGATCCGCCCTCCCTTTCCTTATCCCCGACCCAGGGTTCTTCCGTCCCGGCAACCACGGCCAGCTGAGGGATGAGGAACGTGAGCCCATCCACCGGACCTCAGAGGTGGTGGGGCAGGCCCAGGCCCCCCACAGCTGACGCAAATTGAACCCCCGCGTAGATCTGTGACAACCGCTCTGCGTTTGTAAGAGGACAGAGAGGGGTGCCCAGCGGGAGATGTGAGGAGGTTTCTTGCGCTGGGCTTGCTGCAGGTTGGTGTGAGGGACGTTAATCCGCATGCTGGAAAACAGGTGTTGGGGGAGGGGGGAGATCCATTTTCATCTCAATTTTCCTCTGAACATTTCAAGTTTTTTCCCAGTGAAAATTCGTGTCCTGAACATCTTTGACCAAAAGCCGGAGCGACTTATTCTGAAATGCCTCCTGGGTGTGGTAGTCCGGGTGCCTTGTGCTCCTGTTCTCTTCTGTAGAGTGGGCTTCTTGGTCAGACTACATTTCCCACGATGCACCACTCTCCCTGCTGGGAGAGGAGGGGTTGCATCATGGGGGTCCCTGGCCATGGTGCATCATGGGAGACGTAGTCCAACTAAGGAACCCGGTTCATAGGGGAGAACGGAAGCTTGGGGCCACTGCACTACAACTCCCATGAGGCACCACAGCAGCATTTATTTTCCAGAGCAACTCAACCCCAAGTGACTGCTTCCCATAGAGTCACGCACCCTGTAAATGGCCAAGGGCCCCTAGTGCGCTCCCCCACCCTGGTGCATTTGTTTGCACTAGTGTCGAATGCTCCCATGGCGGGGTTGCAGTGAAAATAACAACACAAGGCACCCGAGAGTTGGGCCTCTGTTTTTTTTTTTCTTTCCTCAAAGCGTCTCTTGCTTTTGGGGTCCTCGGTTTGGGGACTTGCCTAGAGGGAGCCACCTTAAAAGTGCCTGGCACTTCCTGACTGTTGGGTCCCTTTAAGCAGCCTCCGGTTGAGCACCCCAATTCTGGAGGCACCAAAAATCACTAGTCGTTTGTGTGGGGGGAGAGGGGTAAATCCAGAGAGACTCCGCTTACGCGCCGACCCTCAGCTGGTGTGAATGGGCGTCTGGCCCCTCTGACGCCAATGGCGTGACGCTGGCTTGCACCAGCTGGGGATCTGGGCCTTACTGTAGAAAAGGGCCAGGGGAGAGACCAGACCAGAGACTGGGGAAAATGTAGAATACCTTCAATGTAGCGGATCAGTTTGAACCAACCCCTGCAGGGCTGGGAGTCTTGTAAAACCAAAAAATCCTGGGCCTGATTTTCCCGTTGCACTGAGCCTTGTACGGTGATTTATTTACACGAGGATGTGAGGGGTTAAAATCAATCTCAGCTGATTTGCACTAGTGGTGCATGGGGGGAGGGGTTGCAGGGGGGTTGCACTAGTGGTGCAGGGCACTGGGGAATTGGACCAGTGGGGCAGGAAGGGCCAACGGGTAGAGAGACTTTCCCCCTTTTTGGGGTGTTGGTTCCAGGCCGGAGCCCGGCTTGACAGTGACTGAGACCCTAATCATGCAGACGACGTGAGAGCTCGCCCCAGGCTTGAGGCCTCGGGATCCATCAGTAGTTGATTCGGCGTCCTACGCTGTGAGGGGCTGGTGCGCTGTGGGGAAGTTGAGGCAGGGCTGCCCTAGAGCCAAGCTTCGCAGGGCCTGGGGCCCTGATCCTCTTGCAGTTCCCAGGGATTTGAGGACATCTGACTCCCTTTGTGATGCCCCCGAGGGAGGAAAATCACTGGATTCCCCGTCAGGGGATGGCTATGCTTGGACCTGGACCAGGGCATGAGACTCGGTTGCTCCCCTACTGCTGGGGTTGTGCCTAGTCCCTGGTGTCAGTTAGAGCAGCCACTGGGCTGCTCTAATTCATACTCTGTTTCCCAAGAGCCCCCGCTGAAGCATGGAGTACCCATAATGCAATGTGTTCCAGTCACACACACACCCCCATACACTAGGTTCAGTGCCCTTATACCAGCTTCCCATTGGCTGGGGTAGGCCCTGCCCCTTCACAGTGGGGGTGGGGGTGGGGGAGGCAGGATTCTCAGGTGAGGCTGTCTCCGCCCACTTTATTCAGCCTTAACTGAGAATCAGCCTCTGGAATCTGGACTCTGTGTGTCAGCTGCCCCATACTGTACCGGGACTCAGCTCCTTTAAAAAGGAGTCAAGCGCATTCTAGGTCGACGTGAAACGCTCCTTGATGTCCCAGCCCTGCTGGAACACGGCGAGTCTTGGCTGGAAAAGGTACCACAGTCCATTCCTGACCCACATGGCACAGATCATTTCCGCCCCTCCGCGGTTATCGATTAGCTTCTCGCTGGAGCAAGCTTTGGTGCGACACCCGGGCTCTCCCGGAGTCCGATCTCGCGGCTTTCCGTGAGGCAAGCGCTCAGGGCTCGGTTGCAGGGACCGGTGCACTGGGGTGACCAGACAGTAAGGGTGAAAAATTGGGATGGGGGTGGGGGGTAATAGACACCTATATAAGACAAAGCCCCAAATATCGGGATTGTCCCTATATAATCGGGACATCTGGTCACCCTACTGCGCCGTCTCTCAGGTCACAATGCGATGCTTCCATGCTTCGTGCCCCAGCCGTGCAGAGTGTTTTGGACGTGGCGGGGGGGGCATCGTGTTGCTCAGATTCCCAGGGGATGTGCAATCTTTAAAAATGGAGGAGAGGCCAGTGGCTTACTTTACAAAAACAAAAGTGCCTTTAGCAAAAGCCAAACTATTGATCGGTCACGTGTAGATATCCACGCTCCCAGCTAAACTGTAGCCCAGCGGTAAATGCCTTGTTTAACCTCATGCTCTTTTCTTCTTAGCCAGATCTATGCCCCCCCCCCCTTCCCAGAATTATTTAAGAGAGAGATGCACAGAGTTCAAGGCCAGAAGGGATCATTCACTCATCTCCTCTGACCTGCTGTGCATCAGAGGCTGTGAAATTTCATCCAGTTACCCCTGTCTTGAGCCAAAGATAGATACGCTGGCATTGGTCTTTCAAATCCCTTCGGTCAGATCTCTGTAACGGGGGTGGGGGGTATAACTGATGTAGCATGTGAACATTGAAACGGGGGGATCCACCCCCAAAAATAGACCTAATGAAATTTAAACCCGACCAAAGTGGGATTTAGGTATGACTGGGGCGGGGGGCTGGTCTTTTTGTTCTGTGTTTGTACAGGGCCTGGCACACTGGGCCATGACCGGGCTTCTGAGCGCTACCATAATATGCCTAATAAAGAATAAGAATGCCTTTGAAAATCACAACGGAACTGACTGACTGATTTGTACACAGGCGGGTCTTGGGCCCCCTCGGGTGGCTAGAGGATAGAGTTAGGTGGTGGTGAAGGCGTCTCCGTCTCAGAATATGAGAGACAAGGGGGGAGGTAATGGCTTTTATTGGCCCAAGCTCTGTTGGGGAAGGAGACAAGCTTTCGAGCGCCAGGCAGTCCCTCTCTGGGACCTGAAGGAACCCCAAGTTTAGCTTTGGCAGAATTCAATTTTGATTTTTCTGTCATTTCGATGGATACGAGCGATGTTTAATTTAAGCATATTTTTGATTTTTTGGAACCAATTTACATGTTCACCGTTGCACAAAATGATGGGCTTTAAAGCATTTTTTCTATGCATTTACATTTTCACCGTTGTGGGTAAATATGGGGGGGGATCAGACACGGGGAGGGGATCGGACAATGCCACTCAACCTTGGGATTCAACACGGACCGCTTGAGAGCCATCAACGCACGAGCTGTCAACATCCCGCGTCAAAATGTCACCCTTCAATCGAACGCTAATAAATTCTCAAGCATACTTTGCCCGCCTGTCGATTTCAATGATCAACGGAAATAGTTTTGCCCCCTTTGTGGGTGTCTGGTGAAATCGACGTTTAACGGCCCTTCCCGATGAAAAGCGAACCCAGCCTAGCTAACATGCATGTATTGCTGAATCTACCGGTGGGGGCTTTCGCTGGCTAGCACGGAATGATCATGAATTAATAGCTGTTCGTAGCTCCATATAATCACGGCCTTTTCTAGAAATGACCTTTTTTTGTTGTTAAAAATCTGGCAAAAGTCCCCCCCAAAACATCTTAGAATTACATAAAACAACCGCCTGGGTGTGGCCCAATTTGCGGCCACAGGCCTGGTGCGATGTTGTGCAAATGATGTGGAAAGATATTCGCTGCAGCTGGATAAAATGTGGTTGAATTGAGAAGGTGTGTCCTTAATAATTCAGGATGGTGGCATCTGCCCCAGATGCCTTCCACACAAATAGCACCCGTGTTCATTTTCCCAGCCGTCTTCCCCCCGCCCCCCCCCCTTCAAAAGCAAGAGAATGTAGGGAGGGGAAATACAGACCCTAATGCCTTTTAATTCCCTCTTTCCGCTCGCTTGTCAGTTTCACCCAACAAACTGCTTCCAAATCTTCTTCTTCCGGGGAGGGTCTGGGGGCAATCAGAGGAAAATCTACCAAAGCGTCTGCAGTTTTGTGGTGATGTTAATGGCGCCTGGGGAAATGGCTGCTGTCTGCCATGTGCCTGGCTAATGAGTTCTTTGCGTTTATTGCTAAGGGACAGGGGTGGGGTTAAACGAGCGAGGTGATCTGTCATTAGGGGAAGGCTAATTAAAGATGGGCACCTTTCCAGTGGCTGGTGGCTTTTTGTGCTTCTTGCTAATGGCAAATGGCTGGGGGACACAAAGGATGTGGGTGAAAAAAGCAAAGCCAAACCTTTCCTTTAGCAAGCGTTGGGGAAATGAAGCCCGGCAGGAAGGGTGGGCTCGTGGTAAAAGCCCTGGCCTGAGACCTGTATTCAATGCCTGCCACTCCGTGCCTCAGTTTCCCCCACTGCAAACCAAGGCTTATAACCCTTCCTTTTGTCTTGTCTATTTCGGCTGGGAACGAGAGCTGGACCGATAATGGCGGTTTTTTGGTTTCCTGACAAGTCTGAAAAATCAACCCCTTCAAAATTACCGAACCTTTTCGAAGTTCTCAGCAAATGGAAAAGTTGCGGCGGGGATTGTTTCGGCTTGAACAGAACGTTTTGCTTAGGTTACAAGTGGGGTTTTCGTTTTTATATTTAAAGAAAATCAAATGGAAGGAAATAGCGCAAGAAAAAGTTGGAACCTTGCGACATTTACTGACTTATTTTTCCGACACAAACAACCAGCGAGAAGCAGCATGTTCGAGAGAAAGGTTTCGGTGTCACCGAATCTGCATTTTTTCTTGAAAAAACATTTCAGCCCAAACATTTCAACCAGCTCGATTGCAAACGCTTTGTGGCAGGAACTGTCCTCTACTAGGTAACTATGCAGCGCCTGGCACAAGGGGGCCCTGATCCCGGTCGGGGTCTGGGCAGCGCCTGGCACGATGGGGGCCCTGATTTTGGTCAGGGTCTGTGCATTGTCCAGCCTCCTACGAGACAGGGCCTTCATCTCGACAGAATAAACTTCCCCACGTCCCAGCCTGCCCCTCACATCCCCGGCTTGGTGCAGACGGTGCCGTCACTCAGCAAAGCTGGGGGGGTCAACTAATCATTTACGGTGAATCGACTTGGCCGCTTTCCTAGTTGGGGGGGGGGAACCCATTGGCCCCAGTGCCCGTCGGTATCATTTCCTGCGGAATGAACCTGGCCGTGGCAGCAATATGAATTCAACAGCGTCGCGTTCTTGGGAGCTGTGCCCCCCCCCCCCGGTTTGCAACGATGAGCCGCGAAGAGGGAGGGGCATGAAATATTTACAAGCCGGCGCTGTGCATAATTGGCACCGTTTTGTGCCTGGCAGCCACCTGTCCGTGGCGCCGCCGCAAAACCTCCAGACAAATCCCCCCGCCAGCGCCGCTCTGCGAACGCGACGGCTGCTCTTGGAGCTCCCTGGCGCAGCTACGCCGGTGCCAGCTGGGTGACGGGCGAAGCAGACAGGGGTCGGCCGAAGCGTAGGCCAGATCCGCCAGTCGCGGAGATGGGCCTCGTGGAGAGACGCTGTTTTACACCAAGTGGGGATCTGGCCCACGAGGACGCTGCACGCAGCGGGGAGCTTTTATTTCTGGTGCTTGGCGTCTTGTCAATATCCCAAGCAGGAGGCCCTTGAGGGGCCTGGCTCCTGCTGTCAATCAACTTGTCAAATGCAGCTGTGGTGCCACAGCCCAGATGTGGTGCTCTAATTGCACAGCTGGTGACAGAAGCACGGTCCGCATTGAAAGCCTGGGGCAGGAAAGTAAATCTGGACGAGGGTCATTATTTATATTACCACTGCATCTAAAGGCCCTGACCAAGAGCAGGCCACCTCATGCCAGGCACTGCCCAGACCTTGCCTGAGATCAGGGCCCCCCTTGTGCCAGGCGCTGCCCAGACCCCGCCCGAGATCAGGGCCCCCCTTGTGCCAGGTGCTGCACAGACCCCGCCCGAGATCAGGGCCCCCCTTGTGCCAGGTGCTGCCCAGACCCCGCCCGAGATCAGGGCCCCCCTTGTGCCAGGCGCTGCCCAGACCCCGCCCGAGATCAGGGCCCCCCTTGTGCCAGGCGCTGCCCAGACCCCGCCCGAGAGTGGAAGGGGAAGCAGGCACAGAGAGGAACAATGACTTGCGCAGGGTGACCCCCAAGTTAAGTGGCCGAGCTGCACCAAGGACTAACCAGTAGCCCACAGCGGGATGAACAGTCTTGTGCTGGGATTACCCTGCCATGTTATTAGTCAATCCCCCCCTTAATACCATGACCAACAGCCAGCCCACCACTTAGCCTGCAGGCCTCTTTCGGGCGCGGGCCCCCAGGCCCTTCCCTCGCTGTCATTCCCAGGGGGTGTTAAACTTCCAGCTCGGAGCACGGCCTAGAGAGCTGAGTCCTTAAAAAACTCCCAGCGGCCCCCAAAGCAAAGGGTCTTAGCGCTGCTTGCATCAAAACGCTCTCTCCTATGGGCGTTCTAGGGAGAGCAAGAGACGGGCCTAGCGCGCCTCCAGCTGGCGGAAATCGGCGACGCTCCCTGCAGCGCCTGGGGGCGCTGGGCCCTTGCCGAGGTTTCCGGAGCTAGAGCGTTGGGGTCCGCAGCCCTGGGTGGAGATTGCACCTGGCTGGAGTGGCGGAGGCGGGTGGGGCTCGGGCCATTGCAACGCTTCGCTTTGGAGAACGCGCCTCTCCCGGGGACCTGTCCGGATCAATTCCCCCCGCCCGCCACAACAGCAAAACAGCTGGAGGGAGAGGATCAGCGCCTGCCTTTAACCAGGTAGGGCGACCAGACAGCAAGTGTGAAAAATCGGGCCGGGGTGGGGGAGGGGGGTGACGGGTAATAGGAGCCTATATAAGAAAAAGACCCCAAAATCGGGACTGTCCCTATAAAATCGGGACATCTGGTCACCCTACTTTAACCAGGCGCCGTGCCCTCTTTTAGGGCTGTGGGGGGCCTGCTACCACCCAGGCTAGTTCTGAGAGGTGGCCCCTTTAAGAACAGGGGGAGCGTCATCAGACCCAGCTGGAAATGGGCAGGGCCAGGAGATTGAGTCATGTGACTGCCAGCCAGGGAGTATAAAAGGCTCCCAGCTGGGGCAGGGGAAGGTTAGCTGCAGGATGGGTCTCTAGGAGGAAGTAGTGGCGTGATGTCTGGGGGTTGGGAGATGGGTACGGACGCCTGGAGACCAGGGAGACCCACAGCTGGCCTGGGGGGAAAGGGTCTGATGTAATTTGAACTGGCTTGAATTCAGGGAATGAGAAACCCCATGTGTCCTAAAGAAAAGTGTCTGGAATGCTGCCATTGGGGGGGTATTTGCCATACTGGGGGGCCACTGGCTTCGTCTCCATTACCCTGCACCGTAACCGTATCCACGGCTGTGCCGGTGTCCAGGGACAGCGACTGTCCTGTTGTTCTGGGTGTGGTGCGGACCCAGCTCAGCAGGTTCCTAGCCCGTGACCAGGGCTCTGAGGTGTGAGTGCCACAGGAGTTAATAACTCAGCCAAACGCCTTTCCAACCCTCCATCGCTCTGGGAGCACCCTCCACCCAGAAAACCCTCTTTTGCTGTGTGCCGGGAAGGCCACCAAACCCGGGTGGTTTTGAATCAATCATAATAATCACTTGCTCTTCTCTAGGGCTTTTCATGGCTTTACGTCACTGACTCTCAAATTGCTTTAACAAAACCCCAAAAAGTTTGTGTTATTAACCCCGTCTGTAAAATAGGGAAACTGAGGCACACAGTGGGGTGGTCACTTGCCCATAGTCATCCAGCCAGCCAATGGCGGAGGTGGGAATACTACATCCACAGCAGCAAGTCTGAAAACAGGGGAGTTGTGGGCTGCATGCGAACGCCAGCCCCTACAGGGGAATGAGGGCTGTGAGGAAACCGCACTACAACTCCCAGGAGGCACTGCAGTCAGGCTGCCGTCTCCCACTATAAGGGGAGACCAGGGTGCATCATGGGAGATGTAGTCTGACGAAGGAGCCTGGCCTATAGAGGAGAATTCTGCCACCAGTACGTTTTTTTTTGTCCATGTGGAAATACTTCACCTAAACTTCTCTCCTGTTCACTGAATCTTTTCCTCTAAAGTCTTTATCAAAAACACCCTCAAAACACCCCTCCCCTGTTCCTTTTCTTCCTTTTAAAGGTTCCACCAATCAAATTTCCCCCTGAAAACTGAGTTTGGGGGCAAAATTTTCCAGTTTCCAACAGCCAGAAACCGAAAAGTTAGAGGGACTTTATTTTATGATCACAAATACGAATGTTTGTGGTGGACAGACGGACAGACGCACGCAGGCAAGCACACGCCCCATTCTCCCTCCCTCCTCCCCCGTCCCCCTGTTTTGGTGGGAGTAGATCCCATGTTCTCTTTTAAAATAAACCAAACCAAACCCCACACAATCTGTTACCAGTGAAAAATGTCAACTTCGTTTCCGGCCCTGCCGTCTGTCATCTTTTATTGGCCCAACTGCTGTTGGTCTTCCGTGATATCCTGGGACTGACCACTAGGTGGTATTAGGCAGTTTGTAGTCACAAGCTAGCGGGCTGGTGGCAAGATCTGAGCCAACGTGGGCTGGTTTGTGCCAATCTGGGCCAGCTGTTTGACCCACGATCCAGTGCCCCGCGTGCCCCTGGCTCCGCTCCGACCCATTCAGGTTTCTCTGCTAAATCCGGCCCCTGCTCAGACCTGCAAAAGGGTCCCTCTGCCGCCAGCATTGGCTCCCCATGGGGCATCTGTGCCGTCCCGGTAAGGGCTTTGCTGTGAGCCAGCCGTGGGGGCTTTGGTTGCCACTCGGCGTCGCAACAGGGTCCAAGATGCCATGGGGGACGGTCGCCCCATTGCATAGATCCAGCGGGATGCCCCCTGCTGGCCACCCACTGGACTGCTGGGAAGGGACGCTAAGCTGATGGTGGCATTGTGGCACCGTGTCAACTCTGACCTCGGGGGTGGGGTCACACCCTCCCCCTGGGGTCTGCTTTGCACTGATATATACACCAATGGCACCTTCGCCAGGGTGATGGGGGGGTGTCACTCTGTGGCCCTGGTTGTGCCTCGGGGAGACGCTTTGGTAAGTTGGGCACTGGGGGCACTGGGGCTTGGGGAGCTTGGTGTGTCAAGAGTGAGGCTTTGGGTGCCCACTGTGGGTCATAGACCCCATACGACTAATAGAGACCCCCCCCCCCTTGAATCCATAGGGGTTTGCGCTGTCAGAACTGAGTTGTAGCCTGGTTGTTGTGGTGAAGTGATGACCTGGACCACTGTGTGTCATAGTCCCTATAGAGCCAACAGCTGAGGGAGAGTCCCTGATAGCTCCAGCAATAGGGGCCCCTGCTTTATGAGGGTGATGGTCTGGTTCCAGCCATACTGCTGCAGAGATGCGCATGCAGAGCTCTAGCGATTTGCCCCCGTGTGCCGGAGAGGAGGGAGTTGCCCACTCGCCCACAGGCGCTGGCTCCTGCAGGCCCCGGAGCTCCAGGCTGGCCCTTATGTGGCACCCCATCCTCGTAGTGCCTCAGAATGAACCTCCCCCAAGGCAGGTCAGGGTCATTCTCCACTATTTTGCAGACTGGGGGAAACTGAGGCACGGAGCGATTAAAGCAATGCAACCCAAGAAGTCTGTGCTAGAGGCAGGACTTGAACCCTCAACTTGCATCCTTCTCGGTCTTAGACAGGAGCGAGGCTGAGCCAGGTGGGAGTTACCCTGTGCCCTATAGGATTCAACATGATCTTGGGGGCCAGGGATCTCTTGTTGCCATGGTTATCTGAACCTCACCCAGGCACCCTAAGGATCAACCCCCCAATAGCTGAACTGACACAGAAGCCAGCGCTCCGGCTCGCTCCCCGGTGCATGAAACTGTGTGTAGCGGGCTGGAATACCCCTGGGCGTCACACTGCCCCCTACTGGCAGGAATCCAGCTCTGCTACCTGTGACAAGGCCTCGGCGCAGGATACACCCCTAGAGACACAGCCCCTGCATGGCAGCGCTACCCAGCGAAACAAGGGGGGGGGGCAAAAAGAGGGGTTGCTCTGAGGAAACTGAGGCCTAGCTGGCCTGACGAGGTCAAGGGCTGGTAGGGAATCTGGGGGCAGAGCCGGGACTCAAACCAAGGCCGCGGAGGCTAATGGAGCCGGTTGTTTCACGGCTAGGTGGCTGCAATGCTCTGCCCTGGGACCTGGGAGAGGCCCAGAGGCTCGGGTTCCCCTGGTGGCTGCGGCTCCTGCCCCTGCATGGAGCTATCCCAGCCCCCCTGCCCCCATTAAAACCCCCCCAGCAACAGAACAAGCAGGAAAGTTTAGAAAACTTTATTAGCTCTTTTTTCCCTTTGAAGTGGCAGCCCCTGTGGGCGCAGAGTCGGGCCTGCCAGCCAGCCCTGCAGCCAGCCCATCGGTGGGGGGGTGGGGTGGGGGGCAGCGCCAGGCCCTGTTGAGATGGGGCGAGCGTCGTGCTCTTCCCACCGGGTACTGGCCACCATGCAAGGCACCACGGAGCTCCGTCTTGGGGTCAGGCGTCCTCGGCTCCAAGGGGAAATGCTAGGACGGCGATACTCGAACTCTGCCCTTCCACAGGGCCGGGGTGCTCACAGCGCCCCCTGCTGGAGAGGGACCGATTGCCCCTTGGGAAGCCTGTTCGCCCCACACTGGGGGAGGGCTGTTATTCTTCTGCCCCATACTGGGAGGGGCTGTTTCTGCCCCCCCCCTCCAAGAACCTGCCTCTGCCCCCTACTGTCTCCTTAACCCTTTGTGCCTCTCATCACGCGACCCTCGAGGGGAGAATTAAATAAGATTAAAACAATAATAATCAACTTTAAACACTGCCAGGAGTTTGCAGTGTCTCGCCCCACCCCCACGGGCTCCTTCCCCACCCGTGTCACAACTTCCCCAGTCCTCAGCACCTGCTCTTACCTTCTGGGACCAGGCCCCCTCCCCGCAGCCTGCCCATACACAGCCCCTTGCTCTCAGTGGAGGGAGGGGGGATCCTTCCTGCCCCCCAGCGCTCCGCACCCCTGGGCTCTGCAAATATTGCCCAGGGGTGCCCCCAAGTGAAAAGTCTCTCTCTTGCCCTCTAGTGGTCAGACTTTGTATGGCGGCTCAGGATTAGCTACTGAGCGAGCTATAGAGTCTGGTCCTTTGGCTTAATTAGCAGAGGCGCCTGCTTTTTGAACCCATAGGTCCCAGGTTTGGTCCCAGCCAATGACCCAGCTGACGGGGGGCGGGGGGGGAGGAGGTTTCCACCCAGAGTCCACTCTGGTTTTACTGGGGGAGCTCACCACACTGATCCCTCCCCCGCCCAAACAGAAATCAATCCCACACCCCACTCAGTCCCTGGGCCTCTGGCTGCCAGAAGTGGACACTGGACAATAGACAGTGCTCAATTTGTGCCAGGGCTTGGCCGTTCATAGCCCAGCACCTCTGAGCCTGGCCGTTCAGAGCCCTGGGACCTCTGGGCTCGGCCGTTCAGAGCCCCGGGACCTCTGGGCTCGGCCGTTCATAGCCCAGCACCTCTGAGCCTGGCCGTTCAGAGCCCCGGGACCTCTGGGCTCGGCCGTTCAGAGCCCCGGGACCTCTGGGCTCGGCCGTTCATAGCTCAGCACCTCTGAGCCTGGCCGTTCAGAGCCCCGGGACCTCTGGGCTCGGCCGTTCAGAGCCCCGGCACCTCTGGGCCTGGCCGTTCATAGCCCCGGGACCTCTGGGTCTGGTCGTTCATAGCCCAGCACCTCTGAGCCTGGTCGTTCATAGCCCAGCACCTCTGAGCCTGGTCGTTCATAGCCCTGGCACCTCTGGGCCTGGTCGTTCAGAGCCCCGGCACCTCTGGGCCTGGCAGTTCATAGCCCCGGCACCTCTGGGCCTGGCCGTTCAGAGCCTCGGCACCTCTGGACTCGGCCGTTCATAGCCCAGCACCTCTGGGCCTGGCCGTTCAGAGCCCTGGCACCTCTGGGCCTGGCCGTTCAGAGCCTGGGCACCTCTGGGTCTGGCAGTTCATAGCCCGGGCACCTCTGGGCTTGCTGCATCCGTTATGAAAGTAAAAAAAATAAAATGTCTTGAGTGCCGGCCCCTCTTTCATCACAAATTAAGTCCTGAGGCCAGGAGCTGGATCACTCGCTAATCACTCGGTTCTGTTCATCCCTCTGAAGCGCCTGGCACCAGCCACTGTCGGAAGACAGGACCCCGGGCTGGCTGGACCACAGGGCTGACCCAGTCTGGCCGTTCTTCTGGTCTTCTCCAGGGTCCCCCTTCCACCAGGGAGTCCAGGACACCCTCGCCAGACGAAAGTGGTCCGTCACCCCCCATGGCCTTGGCTCGGAGCTGGCAGCGGGGCCAGCCGGCCAAGGATCGATGTGGAAAAATGTCTGCGTCCAAGGTCGGGGGGGGGGAGGGGGGCCGAGATGGTGACTGATGCGGCCGGAGTGACGGGGTGGCGCTGGGAAGAGATTGTGGCCCGGAACCTGGGGAAAGGATCCAGGCGGATCCTAATGAGCCGTTGCAAAGAAACGGCCGGGGAGCCCCCAGGGGGGCGACCTAACAAAACCCCGACGCACACTCCTCATACAAGAACATTAGCCCTCGCTGCTTCTGGCTCGGGGATCCACCCTCCCCAGCATGCGGGGGGGGGGGGTAATCCCCTGCCTCGGGACCTGAGGGGTGGGGCAGAGTCTGTAACGGGCCCGAGTTAAAACCGTCCCTGTGCAAAAGAGGCCGACGCTTTCCGTAGTGTCTGGCCCAGGGCACCCACTAGGGGAGCTGAAGAGAGGGGTGGGGTGGGTGCTGCCCCCTAGTGGATGGGATTTCACGTGCTCAAGTATGTCTACGTGGGGGCAGTGCGCATGCAGCTGGGTGAGGCTGCCCCCTGCAGGTTAGAATGGCACCAAGGTTGGGGGAGGGGGAGGGAGCAGTGTGTGTGTGTGTGTAACACTGCCCCCTGCTGGATGGACTGTCACTCCTACGTGCTGGGAGGGGCGGGGGACCCACTGGGGCTGGATAATGCTGCCCTCTGCTGGATGGGATACGTCAGAGCGGCTCGTGTGTGTGTGTGTGTGTGTGTGTGTGTGTGTGGAGGAGGAGGGGTGGGGTGGG